TCTATTTTGTTTCAGATACAATATTCAACACCATGAAAAACGAATTATGTGAAATTCTTATTTAAACTCACCTATTTCCTAACAGTTTCTAAAGAGACCTCTTACTAAATTATGTTTTCAAATATGATGACAAGAGTGATTCCCCCCCTCCGTCTAGTCCTTCTGTAGCCTTGACAAACTGTGCGCATTAGAAAAGGAAGGGAAACAGGTTTGCTATTGAGTTATTATTGTCTTTGATCTTTAATAGAACCATTACCTCCTAGAATTTAGATGTAGACTTCTAAAATTTAAGAATAAAGAATAAAGTAAGATTCAGTGTGTGACAGGATGTTAGATCTCATAGGAACTTTACATCAGTGTCTCACTGCTACTTGTCTTTTGAAGAGCCCTGGGTAGACATGGCTGTCCAAGCAAGCAGCTGGGGTCTAGCAAGCAGCAGTGACTGATCAAGATCAAGGTTTCCTGGAACAAAAGGAGGGGCCTGCCACAGGTCCTTAAGAGATCAGTGATAGGAGTTGGATTTGGAGAAGACTGTAGAATGACTTTCAACTTTCTCCCTGGATGATGGTTTGGAAGGCTCTCTCAGAATGCATGAGAGAGTCAAGGCCAAGTTAAACATGCTCATTTTGAGATGCCCATTGTAACTCAAGTGAGCAGCTAAGGCACATAATATATTTATTTGCAACAGGGCTAAGATTAGCATTTGCCCTTGTTTCCTTTTCTAAAGTTTATTGCGATACCACTTTGCCTCCCCCTAGAAAAGTCTTTATAATTGAATTTTCCCCACATTAAAAAAAAATCTTAATGTAGGGGAAGAAAGAAGATTCTACCTTCTCCTGTCATTAGGAGATTTATCTTCTTCTTCTGCATACTATGTTGACTATTTATGAGATTTTTTTCTTACTTTCCCATTTCCTTGATTGTTATACTATTTTATTATACATGTTACTATGGGAGTATCAGTGCACACTAGTCAATCATGCCTTGTTAAATAATGTGTGTAGAATTTTATAAAAAATGTTCATGTTCTTCTGTAAATGGTCAGTTTGCAGATCCTATTATTGAGGAACTGGGGCCAGGGGAAGCCTCCAATGGCATAAAGTGTAAGTTAGGCTGTCTCTTCAGTTGTCCCCACAGTTATTATTTCCAGTGTGTGCATTGTACCAGGTAGGAAACTGAGATTAAGGAATCTGGGATCATGCAGCAGAGTCCTGAGTGCCCTCTGGGCTCAGGATATCAGACCTTGACAGAGAAGTGCTTGACAGAAGAGCTAAATGTTGAAGTGCTCAGATGATGTTCAGGCATATGTCTCCTGGTACAAAAAAGGAATATCCTTAGGTAAAATTTAAAACCAAACCAAAACTTTGTTTCACGTGTCTATGAGACCTGACAGGTTTCCTTGTAGAGTTTGAGTTATTTCAAGGGCATGCCTATGGGACAAAATTAAAAGTGTTTATTTTTGCCTAGTACACTTTGAAAGGGCAACAAATTAAAATGCAAATATAAAATTTGCCTAGGCAAATAAGGTGTAGATAGCTGAAGATAGCAATTAAGTTGTTTTAGTCACCATTCTGGATGAACATCCTTTGATTTGGGCTAGCCTAAAAGCTAGTCCTGAGTGATCGGAGGAAGCAACAGGGAGGTCTTTTGTAACTTTAGTTCTTTGGGCTACAAAAGTTTCCATGCTTTGCTGTTAAAATGTAACTGCTCTGTAAGTGATGAACCTTATTGTTTCACTAGCTGTCAGGAGTGAGGAGACCCAGTAAAGGACAGCAAGGATATGCAGAAATCAGGGGACAGATGCAGGGCCCAGCCCTGCCTCTCAGGTCATCGCTGCCCTTGCATTAGGGGAAGAAACTCTCCCCATCCCCATATAATCGGGCCATCTAAGTAATAACACCAATGAGGGCTCATGTGAGGTTGAAGGTCTGTAACATATCTAACCATTTGAAAGTTACCAGGATTCTTCTGGTGTTCTATGTTGTTGTTGCTCTCATTGAAAAAAAAAAAAAAAAGGAAATATTGTAGGTTGGGCTGGTTTCAAACAAATGGGTCAAAGATGTTTCATATATAGCAATGCTACAGGGAAGGTGCTTATCTGTAATCTCAGCTACTTGGTAGGCTGAGGCAGGGAGATCACAAATTCAAGGCCAGACCTTGTAAGGGCAACTTAGAAAACCCTAAAAAGGACTAGGGATGTCATTTAGTGGTAGAGCACTTGCCTGGCACGTGCAAAACCCTGGTTCAGTCTCCAGCATCATGGGGAAAAAAGAAATGCTACAGGATCTGCACAATGATATTTTGAGGATATGGATATATATATATATAATTTTCACACAAAAATAAGCTATGAACAATTTATTTGTATGTTGTTTGGTTTGACCAGCGAACCATCAACCCTATGTGTTTTGATCTACAGAACCATGACATTAAACTGTATAGAATAATTAGAATATTATAATGTAGAAAAATTGAATTATCAAGTTTTATAACTAGAAGGGACCTCAGAAATCATCTATTCTGGTGGTTTTCAAACTTGATTTTAGCAGCAGACTTTTACCTTTAAAAATGAAATCTTAGGGGGAACTCCAATTTTTTTTTAAAAAAGAGAGAGAAAATTTTAATATTTATTTATTTTTTTTTAGTTTTCGGCGGACACAACATCTTTGTTTTGTATGTGGTGCTGAGGATCGAACCCAGGCCGCACGCATGCCAGGCGAGCGCTACCGCTTGAGCCACATCCCCAGCCCAAGGGGACTCCAATTTTTAACACAGTTAATAACAAGGGGGTTCCTTGAATCCTTTAATTTTGATCAGTTGGGGGAAAAGGTCTTCATTGCCTGCAGAATCCATTAAGCACTTCAGGTGACACAGTTTGAAAACTGTTGATCTAGTCCAGCCCTTTCATTTTACAGATGAAAGAGAGGTTAGGTGACTTGTCCAAGGTCACACAGCTAGTCTTGGCAGAGCCAGGACTAGATCTCAGATTTCTTGATTTCCAGTCCAGTGCTCTTTCCATTACACCATACTGCCATAAGGTAGGTGCTGTGTTAGCATTATGTTCATAGCTACTAATAGTCTTCAGTATTTTATAACTGATTTATGCTGGTAATATGCATTGAATGTTAAAGTGTATTATTCAGAAATGCAAAGGATAAAAATACAGATTAAAATCACATAGGTGTACTCTTAGAAGATAAATCAATATCTAGAATGTTTCCTTTCACTTTTAGAAATTATTTTAAAGCAATACATTTAGGTAATGTCTGAGCTATAGTGGATATTTTAGTCTGATACCAATGATCAATATGTATGGAGTCAATATGTTTTTGTGCAGACATGCACTTGATGGGAGCAGCATTGAGATGGCTGGCTGCCATTCCCAGGGGGACCATGGATTGCTGTCATTTCCAGTAGAGGCCAGTCTCCTGTCTTTAGCTGGTGCTCCTCCTTTAGCTTGTAGTAGTCATGAGCTCATTCCACATTCAACTCTGCAGACTTTCCTTCAGTTCTTTGTGTTCTTACACCTTCTGTCTCTGACCCTTTTGTTCTTCTCAGTCTGGTTATCTAAGTTGTCACTGGGACTCTACCCTAAAAGAACATAAGGTTTAGTCATTGTAGAGCCCTGTTGCCCCTGATAATATCCATTGTTGATCTAGTTTCTACTTAGATGTTCCTCTCTGGTATTATCAGACTCTTACTAGGTTCCAGGAAAGTAGAAAAAGTGTTTTAAGTCCTCTATAACTATTGTTTTACCAACTTAAAAAACTAAGAGACACATGGAAATCTGCAGCCTTACCACTGTGAATGGGTAAGAATTCTTAGGAGATTTCTCTGGGAACATAGATACTGCCACTGGTCTAAGAATAAATTGCTGGTTCCTGAGGAGAGCCAGCTGCTGTGGGAAGCCTTGGCTCAGGTGTTGTGATTCTGTCAGAGTTGGATGCAACTTGTTTCTATCTTATCAAATATATTGAGTAAGTCTCTAAGCAATAGAGATTCCTTAGAAAATATTTTTTTAGCCCTACTTTTGTTTGAGAATCAAACAGCAGTGATTAGTTATCAGACCTCATTTTTGAAATTTATTTCTTCTGAAAGTCAAGTTCAAAGTTCTGTGGGTCACATGATGAAGGCTGTTGTTCTAAGACCTGATGACCTCAGACAGGACACACAGACTCTCTGGGCATGTGTTTCCTCCACTTAAAGGGGGAGCAATTTAGTTCTTCCTCCTAGTCGCAGCTAGCTCTGTTGAGTGATCATGCTAGTGACACAAAATAATGTTGGTATTCCAGATGTTACATTGCTCATCGTGTTAGCTCACTTGGATCCTCATTTTCTAATAGACTTGGTGATGATGTGAAAGTTCTGTGTCTTTGCAGTCCAGTTCTGTAGCCAATGGCCACAGCAGACTATTGAGTACCTGAAAAGTGGCTACTGCCACTGAAGAATTGAATTTTAAGCTTTATATAATTTAAAAATTAGGTAACATTTGAATTTAAAGGGTCGTATGTGGCTACTGTATTGGACAACCCAGCTCTCAGGTGTTCTCTGACATGAAAATCAGATGCTGGGTGGAACAGATGTGCTGCATTCTTCCAGAGAGTGATGATTTATATCCTGCTGAATTGTCACTGGCTACACTCTGTCTTAGGGTAGCTTGTTAGAAGTCAATCACTTTTTTTTTTTTTTTTGCATTAAAATGCAGAAAAAGGAGATTGGGTTTCCTCTTATTTGTGACTTAGCCACATGAGCTTCAGCTGGAAAAATGTTTGTTAATTTGATGACAAGTGACGCATTTTCTCCTATGCTCAATCTCATATCATTTGGGCCTCAACGTGGGTTTCAGAGCATTCCTGTAAGTTTCCTGGGAAGCTGCTGAATTTTGAAAGCTTCTGGCCAGTAAAGGAATATTCTGTTGATACAAGCTTGATACGAGCATCTGAATTATGCTGGTTTCTGAGTATATAATGAAACAAAACTCTCTTTCTTCTGCCCCCCAGAACCAAAGAAAATGGCTTTGACAGAGAGCCTTTGCACTCAGAACATCCAAGCAAGCGACCATGCACTATTAGCCCAGGCCAGCGGTATAGTCCAAATAACGGCTTATCCTACCAGCCAAATGGCCTGCCTCACCCCACCCCACCTCCACCTCAGCATTACCGTTTGGATGATATGGCCATTGCCCACCACTACAGGGACTCCTATCGACACCCCAGCCACAGGGACCTCAGGGACAGAAACAGACCTATGGGTAAGACTCAAAGATCTATTCACTTTTTTGGCAGTTGGATGCTGTAGGTTCTTACATCACTACTTCTCAACTGAGTTTGAGGCTTGAAGTCTTATAGGGGCAAAATTTTGCTTTCTTCATTTTGTCCCCTTTATGAGAAAACTTGGTGTTATTAGTATACTCTTATATGCTTGAAGACAGCAGGTTAATTTTCTTTTTGTTTTTCGAGGAGGGTGTCAAACTTAATAAAATCCTTAATTATGGTAACAAAAGTAAAATGAACTTTTAGCTTGAATCTTGCTTTATGAGAGATTTCATATGTAGTCTCTTTGAGAATCAAACATCAGTGACTCTTTTTAAAAAATATTTTTAAAAATTAGTTTCTTTTGTATATATTTTTTGTTTCAGATAGTCTGAATTCATTTGGACTTGTACAGTCTCCATGATATTCCATATTTCCAAAATATGATATGGCATACTGTTTATGGCTTAACTTGACAGTGAGGAATGCTTGGTACTTTTCTCTGTTAGAAAATGCCAGTGATTAAAATTAGTATTGTCAATTTTGCATCAAAGAACAGAACACAGAATGAATGAGTTTAGGAAAATTTGTGTCCTACTTGCCTGTGTCCATTACTCTTTATAAAATTATTGGATATAAAGCTTTAGGAGATCTTGCCTTTTATTGAGCAAATGTCTGCTGCAAAAAAATCAGAAGGAAGATGCCTAAGGTAAGTTTTGATAGATGATAGGTGGTTGAGGTGATGGTATCAGGTAGTAAGTACGCTGTTCCTGAGACACCTTCAATGTCTAACCTTCAGAATCTCACTAAGAGCAACAACCATCTCCCTCTTTTTTCCCCATCTCCTGTGACCATACCACCCACCAACAGGACTCCCTTTACTTCATAACTAGTTGCTGGCCAATTTTCCTGACTATGGGAGATTTGGTGGGCAGGATACCAGAAAGAACAAGGGTGAAGTCGAAGTAGAAAATCAGAAAACAGAGCTGAAGATACAGAACTCTGGGAAAAAGCCAGCCAGCTGTCAGCTACTGGAATAATAGTGACAGGATTTTATTTTCATTTTTGTTTTTCACAGGCAGAGATAGCCTGAAATGCAGAAGTTTGTGTTAGGCTTCTACCCAGGTTTTTAGGCTGCTGTAAGGTAGTATTTTTGCCTTCCTGTCCAGAGTCCTCCAAAGGTCTAGAAAGCAGAATGGGGATGAGATGACTGAGGCTTTGGTTGTGAGATAGTAAATTAGTAATTCTGGTTGCCCACAACAGTAATTTCTATGTTTATTTAGTGTGTCAGACAAAAATGGCTAAGCACATAATTTGTGCTTTCTTAATGGCCGATCTGTCTAATGTTCTCACAGGTACTATTTCTGAAGGGCTTTTCAAAAGTGGTTATGCTTTCTCTCAGTCTAGACTGAGACCTCAAAACCAAATGTGATTACAACCCCTTTCTATGCAGAAGCCTTACCATTTATTGATGACTTAAGGCCTGAAAATATGATTGCTGATGTTTAAATAGCAGTGGAATCATCAGGTTACTGTGAGACCAGTTCAGGAGATGATACACTGTTGTAGGTGCCAGAGAATGGTCTACTTCTTAGGCAGCAAATGCTATTTGGTGAATTATTAGTTACAGTGCACTATAAAGTAATCAACAAGGAAGTAATTATGCTTATGTGCAATGATTATGTTTTCATCTAGTAATGTAAAATATCCCTTTATGAATTATATCTGTATGCATTGGTTTTATGTGATTTTCTTCAGACCATGTTTCTTACCTTTTAATTATATTAGCTTATAAAACTAATAGTGCTAATCTCTATAAATATGTGCAGCTACTTAACCATCCCTAAAGTCTGCCAGAGTTTAGTGTGTGTTAATGTAAAATAAAATCTTGATGTATGAGTAACAAATTATGGCATTATATCAGGCTGCCATTTTGAGAATATAAAAATTGTCATAAAGGTGTATTTAGTCTGATATGATTTATAAATGTGTGTTATATGTAGTGACATATACTCAACTGAATCCTTTAATAAAGTAATTTTGTAAGCAGCATTAGTTTGTAAGTAAGCTTTGGGTTTTAGCCTAGTTAGCTAAAAATCTTCTAAAACATAGGAACCAGTTAAGACACAACATTAGTGCCAGGTGGCCCACAAACAGAAAATGTGTTCTTTGATGATTATGACCTATTTTACTCTCGTATATCCCTGTGGTATTATGAACACAAATAAAATTTGTATGGTGTTGAATATTTAAGTATGTGAAGTAAAGAAATTAGTTTCCAGTTGTCTTATTTTTTCCTTACATAGATTTGATTCCAACAAATGACCTTCAGAGTTTGAAAGTACCAGATGAAGCCCTTATTTCTCCTGTAAATACTTGAGCACAACAATGTTTCTACCATTCTTCTGTTTTAAAAGAATGAGATGAAACTTAGACCACTAAGACTCGTAGTAGACACCTGTTAACCACAAACTTTCTATTGCTCATTAATTGTTCTGAGTGTTAGAGCTTGAATCATTGTTGATTTAGTTTGCAGAATTTTTGAAAATTTTGAGACCTCTAGAGGTCTTGGTTCTTACTGCCAAACATTTAGATGCCACCATCTTGAAAGTTCCTGTCACATTTATATTTTCATCATCCTCTGGTTATTTTCTGTGATTAATTGTAGGAATAGTGTTTTTTTCCCCAAAACACAGGCAACAAATAAGTCAACAAAAATTACGTATTTGCAAACATTTCAACTTGAAATATTCACACTAAACAGAGCAATAACTATTCTCTCCCCTCCCAATATCTTTTCTATTAAGCAAATTAGTAAAACATTTGCAATTTTATGTTTTGCCAATAGGTGGCATTGACAATTTTAACTTTTAAAATTTATCTCTGAGTGTGTTCTGTTTGGACAGGAATGATGCATAGTATTTTTATACCTTTTTATTTTTTATTATTTTTTACCTGAGAGAGCTATCATAAATGTTCACTTTCATGGGTTATGGATGAAATTGTATCTTGTAGTTGGCTGAAAGAGTCATGTGAATCATCTTTTTTTTTCGCCTTAAGTCAGCAGAAAGAAAAGATTTCTAACCACTTAGATTTCACAAAAAGTGGAATGCAATATCTTTTTATTGTCATTTAATGCTTAAATGACAGGACCTCAGAGAAGGAGCCTCAATGTCTAGAAGCCCAAACCATGCCAGACTTAATTTGCTGTTCAGATTAACAATATGAGGGAGAGTAACCAAAAAGAATTGTTTTGGTCATTCAAAGCAGAAAGCATAACATTGCCCAGTGCCCTTCCTTGATGTAGAGGGTAAAGGGCACTTTCCACAATGAAGGCATGAGAGGAACACCAGGTTTCTAGACCTCTCTCATCAGTCTTCTATTCTGACCTTTTATGGAGAAATGTGAAAATGCATGTTCATATTCTAATGACTAACTTACCTAATGGTGCTCATTCATTAATATCAGTGCACTTGGTAAATATTTACATGATACTTTTTCATAGCAGTATAACTGTGGTGCTAAAGAGCATTAATACTCATGGGCTCCAAATTATAATATTCATTTTTTTAATTTGAATGTGATATTTGTTGAAGTATAACTGGCATGCTGATTTTTTGATAAAACATATCTCATTTTTATATCTTATGTTTTTGTAAATTGAATTAGTATATATAGCTTTTATATACAAATATAAAAACACTCTCTTTGTGGCCTAATTTTATCAGCAAGATACATATATTAGGATTGTATTCATCTATAGCTGAAGCATGAAAAAATGGTTTACTGTGTTTTGGGAAATCATATAAAATGAGTTATAATGTCTATTTTTTAATGCAGACCAGTCATATTTTGAAACCACCTAATGTCTACTCATGTTTCTTTCTATTTATTTAGTGCTAGGGAGTAAATCCAGAGTCTGTGTATGCTAACCACACTGTCTACAACCTAACTACATCCCAGCCCCAATTTCTTGTATTTATTAAGAGCTAAGAATATGTTTATATTTTTACTTAGGGAGTCTCATATGAATAAGAAGCTCTAGACTTGTTATCATGTAGCTCTCCCTCCTCATGTGTAAAATAAAGAGTTCTGATGAGATGACCTCTAGAATTCCTTGGAGTTCTAATATTTTTGTCGTTCTTAGGAGGACGCCACTGGGTAATTCTGACTAAGTATAATTCTTGTCTCCAATCAAAATAAAATGTTTTAACATCTTTGGGATTGCCCACATGGTCCTGGCTATGTGCAGGATTGCATACAGATTGGGTACTGAATGCTTTAGGGCAATTAAGCCTTTTTCTCTCTATTTGTAGGGTTGCATGGCACACGTCAAGAAGAAATGATTGATCACAGACTAACAGACAGAGAATGGGCAGAAGAATGGAAACATCTTGACCATGTAAGACATCAGTAAACATTTAGGTTAAAAAATGTTTTGAGAACAACTGAAGTGAGGTCATATGATAAAAGCTTAAAGATGCTTTGAAGGTATTGTGTTTCCTGATCTCCTTGAAAAAAAAAAGAATGAATGAAAATGTTTGAGTAGAATGCAAGATTTGATTTCCAAATTGATGTGAAAGCCACGTAAGAGAAATATTTAGATCTTGGAAAAAGACCAGCAGGCTACTGTTTTATTTTGAAAGGGTGATTGGCTTACTATTCTGGAAAGGTAGATTTACTAATTATAACACCTTGAAGGTAAATATGACTGTCATGATTCACATTCACACTTCTTGCTTTTCTTCTCTTTCCCATTGAATATGCTCATCTGTTGGGTTGGAATTTCAGATCTGACCATTAGAAATACTAAACTGAAATCCTGCAGGAATGCAATTTCATCTTTTATTATCCTGAAATATTGATTTTCTTACCCACCAAATTCTTTAACCTGTGGTGATTTGTATGTTCACCTCTTTCTCCCTGTTTCTTGCGCAGCTGTTAAACTGCATAATGGACATGGTAGAAAAAACAAGGCGGTCACTCACTGTACTAAGGCGATGTCAGGAAGCGGACCGGGAAGAATTGAATTACTGGATCCGGCGGTACAGTGATGCTGAGGACTTGAAAAAAGGCGGCAGCAGTAGCAGCAGCCACTCCAGGCAGCAGAGTCCTGTCAACCCTGACCCAGTGGCATTAGGTATCTTTACTTCAGATGAGAATTTTGTGTTTTGGTGGGATGTGGGTGGGGGGAAGGTACCAGGGTTTGACACAGGGCACTTGACCACTGAGGCACATCTCCAGCTCTATTTCATATTTTATTTAGAGACAGGATCTCACTGAGTTGCTTAGCGCCTTGCTTTTGATGAAGCTGGCTTTGAACTCAGGATCCTCCTTGTCTCAGCCTCCCAAGCCCCTGGGATTATAGGTGTGTGTTACCATGCCCGGCCAGATGAGAATCTTGAATAGATATTTCTTATGCTATTACCCACTGGCTGTTTTTAACATTTCTTCAAAAATAAGAGATACTCTGAGTTTATGACAGAATTGCAAAACTGAACCAGAATTTTATTGCACTATTAAAATTTATGCTCCTTCATAATATAGCTATTTGGACCCTGCCTCAAAACCTGCAGAAACCCCATCTCACAGAGTGGGCCCGTGGCTTCTACTCCTCTAACAAGGCCTCTTGGGACTTCTTCTACTGCACAGCAGTGTTTGACAGCACTGCACACAGGGATGTGTGTTTTCTAATTTTTAATTCAAGATACAGTCTCTAAGACAGTCTTGTTTTGTGGTTGTATCTTGCATTAAAAAAAGAAAAAAACTTCTCTCAAAAATCCCTCTTGGACAGAGAAACCTAGAAGCTATATAGTTTACCTACTCCACTTGAAATTTGATGATAAAAAGTATGTAGCTCTCTTCCTATGACTGGATAAGTTAGATTGTTTAATTATGGTTTCATTCATTATGTAATGGGACTATTAATATAACTCCACCTTAGAAATTGAGTGTTCGTAACTATGTTTAGTATTGGTGTTCGGGGATTATTGTGGTTATAAATAGAATATAGTCCCAAAGATATTGAAAGAAGTCTACTAGAATTTTGGAGTGGCCTGCAAACTTCTGCTTGAATGAAGTGTAAGGTGTCATCATTTACATTGCTGGCCATTGTGTGTGAACCATTTGAACAAACTTAGTGGGGATGATTTTTGTGGATCCTCATTCTCTCATCTCCAGCTCCCTACCTGTAGCTCACTCAGGTTAGAGTACAGTCCTTGTACTCTAACAAAACAAAACAAAACCTTATTGTATACATGCAGATTTAAGCTCATGTCTTTGACATAATTGGCACCATAGCTGATTATCAAGAATTAAAAGCTTGAACTATATTATCTGGCTATTTGATCACATTATCTTTTTATTAAAATTATTCATAGCCAGTATAGTTACCTTTGCATCTATTTGTGGATTTCTGCTAATTCCTGAGTGTTGAATGCCTATTACTCTAATAAGTAGTAAATTAAGGAAGATTCCTAGCTACTTAATTTACCCAACAGGGCAGATTCCTAGACACTTAATTTACCCAACAGGTATTATTCTAAAGCAGACTTTAAAGACAAAAGGATATTTGTCAGGCTGTATTAAGGCAAGCAGTGAAAACAGAATTAAGTTTGATTTGAGCCATTATTGGGCTAAACAAAGCTATTTGGAGCAGAGTATAATAAACATCTTGTTTTTATTTCCTTATTATGAACAGAGATCAGTTAATCATGGCAGATTTGCTCAAGGAAAATGATATTATTTATAAAGATGTAATGTAGGCAAAAATTGAGAGCCTTAAAAAATAAGATTTTAGCAGTAAAAATATACACTTTGACCTTCTGTGTGGCACACATTAATGGAACTATTACATATTTATTGAGTGCTTACTATGCACTAGGCTTTGAACCAGGTGCCGTAATGAAGGAAAGAGATTCTTTATTTCTTCCTTGAGGATATTTGGGTCTAGTAGAACAGAGAGGCAAGAGAATAATGTTACAGGCACAGGACAGCCACCTCAGTTGAATCCTACAAACTGGACTCTGAAAAAGAAGAAATTCAAAAATTGATTTGACATCATACCTAAATTGTTATTAACCCACCAAATATAAGCCACTTTGTACACAGTCACTACTCCTACACACAAACTCTGATGATGCCGATGTACACCATATTCTCCAGGGAGATAAATTCAGTTTCTGTGTTATATATAGAACCAAAAGAATAAGCTTGGGTTGTTTGTTTGTTTGTTTTTTAAGCTACTCCTTCCGAGTACACAAATTATACTACTTTTAGTGACATTTAATGAATTCACAGTTTTAGTAAAGCCGAGAAGTTGCTTTGGCTTTAAATTTGCGTAGTTAAGATTATCTAAATGCTACAAGAATTTCATTGTTTTGTTTAGAAACCACAAAAAGAGTCATGTTCTTATGGACACAGAACCCTTGGTTACCTATTAAGAAACCATCACAACTCTTAAGAGCTACACAGTGTTCCAGTCCTGGCATCCAACAGTTTTTCCTGTGTGTCCTTGGTAGTTGATTCTGGAGGCCCTTGAGCTTCATTTTCTGGAGCTGGGTTGAGGCTGTAAATAAGAGGACAGGTAGTTTGTAATCAAGGAATACAGTCATCTACATAAAGTGCTCTCTCTCTCAGGTTTTGGAGATGAATGTATTGAAGTGTGTTATGAAAACATTAGGGATTATTGGTTAATAAATCTCTGTTGCTGGAAAGTTTTTAATGGGGTACATGTTTAAGATGAAGTTATGGATCTGTTGTTCTTTTATATACATGTCGATCTCATTATGCTATGATTAGGTTGTATATTTCTTTTAGCCTAATTCTTTCAATTCTTAAACCATCCGGCTTCAAATGAGACCTTCAGAATATATTGTAGAAGAAATCTTTGGTTCAGAATATTGCCTAACCTACATCCCCAACTTGGGAGCATGGGAATGTTTGTTATACACACATTCTTAGCATTTTAAAATTGCATTTGGGGACTGCACAGAGGAGAACGTCACTTCCATGACTGATGTGTTGTTTTATTCTCAGACCCGTTCTCACTGTTGAAATACATCCGCAGCATTAAGTCAGTATGGGGGATTAGAAAAATAGCATGATTAATCTATCACTAATTGAATTTTAGGAGTTTCCCCCAGATATTAAATAACAACTCTATTGTGAATAGCCTCTGAAAAAATTTTAAACACTTGAGAACATACTGAACTCATAATGTCATTCCCATTCTTTAAATAAATACAAGTTGAAATCTTAAAGGACCTTTAAAAATAGATTTTCACTTGAAATAGTAGAAAAAATAGATTTTCACTTGAAATAGTAAATATGGATTGTTTTTATTATTCCTCATTGGCTGTCCAGGAAAAACTCTAAATATTCAACTCTTAACAGAATTAGCTAATTTTTATTTATTCTTTTTAAAAATGGGCCTTGTATATTTGTTTAGTTACATTGTGAACTTCACCAAAGACCCAGGTTAATGTGATCAGAATTGATAGATTCAATCACTGTGGTAACTACCTGATTCATAAGGATAGATTGTGGCTGGTTAGCTTTTCATGTATTCTCTATGTGTTTGTCTGGGCCTCTGTAGCTCTTTTCCTTTCAATTCCTTTTTCTCTCAGTATGCTACTCATATCCCTCTCTTGCTTTAATTTTTTTTTTTAAACTGGCTTTGGACTATTCTAGAATCTATGTTCATTGTCTGTCCTTTGTTTTCAAGAAGACTTCCACATGATTAGGGTTTTAAAAAATAAATTTAATGGTGAGTTTAAGACTGTTAGGGACTGAGAGTTACAGCTCTGAAATATGGATGTATCTATTCTACTTTTTGAATGTATAAATACTTTTTGAATGTATAAATGATAATAGGGAAGTAAATTAAAAAAAAATACTTTCATGTATGTGTCAGTAAGGGTTAGCTCTTGCCAAAGAAAGAAGTATAGTGGGGTTTTTTGTTTGATTTGTTTTGTTGTTGTTGTTGAAATGGGATGAAAAATTAAGCTGATTATTCGTTTAAAAAAAAAAAAACCTTAGCAATTCAGGAGTTTGTTGAATTCATGGAGGAGTTTGTATTTTAAAATTGCTCTAGTTGGAGGAGCCAGGTTTGGTGGCTGACACTTATAATCCCAGCTATTCTAGAGGCTGAGGCAGGAGGATCATTAGTTGGAGGCCCATGTTAGCAGCTTAGTGAGATTCTGTCTCACAATGACAATAACAAAGGATTGTAAGACTGGGGATATAGCACTTGGCTAGAATGTGTGAGGTCCTGGGTTCAATCCCTAATCACCCCCAACTCCCACTGACTTGCTGTCGCTGGCAAATTTTATGCTTGCTGTATGATTAAATCATGAAATTTCCCATTGGTATCTAAATCCTTAGGAAATCTAGCATTAAGTTTAAAAGTACAAATTCTGAGCAGCAGATCATTAGGATTTGAAGTCTCGGTTCCTCTTCACACTTTTTTGGTGACTTTCGGTAAGTCATGATCTCACTGTGCCTCAGTTTCCTTATCTGTAAAAATGAAGATGACACATATCTCTTAGGCATTTCTGTATTAAGTGAATTGACAGGTCTACAATATATAGTATGGTGCCTGACCTGTAGTACACATGATGTACTCCTGTTTTGCAATCTCAGAATGGCAGGAAGCAAAACAGGAGAGCTTTATGTTTGGCATTCAAGATTGCAAAATTTTAGTGAATTATTAGATAATTTTTATCTAGAAAATATTTCCAAGGTGGATACTTTTCTTAAGAGGCAGAGAAATTCGAATTCTCTCTTAAATATGTATCTTTAGAACCCTGATTCAGAACACATGACTGCAGAAAAATAGTTTTCCTCCAACCAAGGAAATACTGTTCAACTTCTATACTATCAGAATATGGAAACTACAGACAAATTACTCAGAATATATCTGCACATAAAAGTCTGTGAAGTTTTATACAATTGTATTGATTCCTTTAAATCACATCATGGAATTCATTTCATGACCACTCAGCTAACTTTATAATGCAAATGCCTGCTATGTTTAAAAACTCTGCTTTAACTATATAGGGTTTTAAAAGACTGTTAAATAAGTCCATCTTTTAAAAACAAAGAGATGGTTATTTCCTGGTATGTCTGTTGTTAAAGATGGGAATTCTAAAGCAGTTCCTAGTTTCTAGTTTGGGTTTAGGCTTGTGTTGAGATTTCTGAACATATTACCCTTAAAAATAAAACCAAGTGGCATTTGTAAAGATGAAATCACTTAACCTTTCTCTTAATGGTTTCTGTAATTGATATTATCATGATCACAGCCTCATTCTGCCCACTACAGGATGAAGGCCATACCTAGGTGCTGCCAAGCTTTGAGCATTGCTGTCCTGGGTCATGTGAGGTCACATTGGTTCTCCAAAGGCTGTCAGCTCATCCCTTCATGTATATTGATGGCGGCCCTTCCTGTATCTAGTATCCAATGGTCTCCATTCTGTCGTAAGTGTAGTGCATCTTCCATCTCTTCCATACATCAAAGATTGCCCTTTCCGTTCACATTCCTTATAACTTTATCCTTCATTCTGACTCAGTCCTCCCTTTCTACATTGATGTGTGTTAGCTTAAAGAGGCTGCCCTGGCCCTGTTCTCCTCTCACCTCTAAGCAATTTGCATCTCAAAGCAAACTAAATTTGACTTAGATGGACATCTCTCTAATTTTCCCATCTTTCAGTAGTTAGATCTTTGTATGTCTCACATTTTAAACCATTTCCTATAGGTTCTCCGGTCTTTGTTTCTACTACTACATTTTAGAACAACTGTTCATTTTTATAGCAACAGATATTTTATAGGTAGTAAAGACCTAATAACTAAACATTAGCTCCTTTAGAGTCCAACCTTGGACTGTTTTGCATGGGTTTGTCTAGATTCCCCAATACCCTAAAATGATAAATTCCTAGGAGAGTGGGTCTTTTGCTCTCTTATTATTATTATTTTTTCTTGCTCTCTTATTTATCAACTCCAGGAATTTTTTTGGCCTTTAAATTCAGTTTTGTCTATATAGATTCTGATGCTACTGCTTAATCAGAAAAAAATATTAAATCAATTTATTAATTGATTTTTGTAGCTATTAAAGTCTTTAATATTTGAGGACTCAAATAGATTGAGAAGTATCCATCACTGTGCTTTCCATTGTCAGATCTGATGTTTAGGAAGACTGCAGTGACTTAGGACTGGAGAGGATATTGTAAAATGTGCATCTATAATTACTTCCCTTTAAATTTGGATATTTTGAAAAAATGTTCTTTTACAAAGCAGAATAGGATTGATGAAGCCATTTTACCTGATGGGCATTGGTATAATCATTGGGTGTCTAGGACAGGTGGAGTTCAGGTCTACGTGGATGTAGCAGCATGTCAATGAGACATATATGGAGCTGCAGCCAAGGTGAAACTCTTCATAGAATCTCAGTGTGGCTTATGAACCCTCAGGATGCCTATTGTAGAGCGCATGGAAGGTGGAAGTTTGGCTGAACCCTGAATGTTAATGTTTGAGAAAATTTGAGGCTATTCACATTCATGAGGTTTAAGTAATATTTATAGGAAAAAAGTATAAGAAATTTGAGGGCTTTGGCTTCTGAGGACAAACACAGTGAATTGAATTTGCAAAAATAATTTGTATCACTAAGTGACATATTCTGTGGGAGTTAAAAAATTCGCTTCCTATGTTTTGCTTAATTGAAGCTTCTCCAGTGGTTTTGCCTCCTTTAATGTTTTGTACTATTTAGTTACGCTGGAAGGAGAAAAGGGTTTATGATGTTTTTTTTTTTTTTTCTTCATCTTCCTTGTCTGTAAGGTAACAAGTACATATCTATTCTTAGTGGTCAGCCTGCTAAATAATGGTAACGATGAAGATAATAAATAGCAAGTAATGTCTAATGAAAGCATAGGACATGCTATGCCAAGCATGTTGTGGGGAGCACCTTCTTCAATCCTCAGATGAAGTAGCTCTTGCCTTACATGGGGCAGCTGAGGCAGGGGGAAGCTAACTTCCCCAATGTCATGTAAATAGTAGTTGGTAAAGCTAAAATTCACCTCCACTGGGTTTTAGAACTCTCTTCTCTCTATGTTGCCTGGGACTAGTAATTAGTATTATTTATGCATGAACTTTGGATAACTTAGCACTTTTAAAAATCTTTTAAAAGATTTTCTTTTTCCTTATAATAAAGTTTGGTTCTTCATCAGAAATTTTGAAAAATGAAAAAAATTTGCTTCTTTGGAAAAGGCATTTTTTTTCTGTGTTTACACTTTACTATCTATTCTTATCCAATTACTTATACTTAAGTTTAAGTCTTTTTTCCTTAAAAATTGTCTTTAAAAGTTGTCATAAGTACATCTTTCTGTTTTACTATACTTGTCTACATGTGAATTTCATAGCACTTTACTTCTTCTGGAAATAGTTACAGTTGCTAAAGAAGGTAATCTTGAAAAACCTAATTAACTATGTCCTATTTCCAAGTTGTATATGCACCAGTTTTATCTAGCTTTCTTTAAGAATGAAAATTGTTTCAGTAAGAACTTTTTGGTTTTGTCATTTACTTTGTGGAAATGAATGTGCATATGAAAATGCATGGATATTTCCAGGCCATCTGATTATTCAGTAGTCGTGAAATTATAACGTAAACTTTTAAAAAGAAACTCTTTGGAATAAATTTAGAATTAAGAAAATATTGCAAAGATAGTATAGAGAGTTTCTGTATATCCTTCACCAAACTGCTATACATTTTTCCTAATTCAACATAGTTGTTATAATCTAGGGTTCTAGCCACCTGATAAACTATATACCATGCTTGGATTCAGAACACTCATTTGTATTTATAGCATTTAAATGTAATGACATACACTTAACTAAATTGATTGTGCTTTTTCTTTTTCTTCATGTTCTGTAGCTGCATAAAATATAGGATACTGGACTGAATTTCTTTTGACCTTCAACATATCATTAGATAAAGTATTATTTTAAAATATCAGTCTGTTAACTTGGCATTTCTTTTAAATGTAGAGAAAACTTCAGTTCTCCTTGAAATTTATCATGGGTTGAATAATTATTATATTTTATAGAAGTACAGTGTTGATTATTTTCATCCTAAAAATCTTCCCAAATATATAGGCTTTCATTGAAAATTCAATATGGGCTGGGCACCGTGGCACATACCTGTAATCACAGTAACCCGGGAGGTTGAATCATAAGTTCAAGGTCAGCTTCAGCAATTTAAGGAAATCCCAAGCAACTGAAGGAGATCCTGTCTCAAAATGGGGCTGAGGGTGTAGCTCAGTGGTAAAGTGCCCTGGGTTCAATCCCCAGTACCCACCTCCCCCAAAAAAATCCAATATGGAAGACATGACATGCAGATGTTAGCTATAGATGTCTCTATATATTCAAGCATTATATAAAAAATATAAGATGTTCATGCCATTTCTGTGAACATGTGCTTTTGAAAGTTAGCATTCCTGTATCTACTTTATTATGAGTTTCATCAAACCTTTAAAATTTGACAGCATAAGAAGCAAAACAGTTAAAATGTTTTATCCTTTAAAATTCTTTAAAAGTTGTCTTCAATACATTATTTCCTTTCCTGGAAGCCACATACCAAACTTTGTTTGGTGAACTGAATGTCTGTGAATTCATTCTAATGAGTCTTTCTAGTTTCCACTGATGTCAAATCCATATAATCTAATTCATATGAAAAATATTGATGCTTAGTGAGATTTTTAAGAAGTAATTAGGTGTGAGAACTGGTTAGCCATCAAGTAGGGCTGACCATTTATTGAAAGATAGTAGTATTGGAGCACTGTGGGAATTATATTATCCTGACATTTGATTATTTTTTCTTTAAACTATCAGTTTGACTCTTGAAAGGAAAAGTTTAAAAATATAATCTATTTAACAATATAAAACATACCTATAGAAATCCTCACAGTGAGAGAATCTGAGAAGTGTCCCCAAACAGCATACGTTTTAAAGAAAGAAAGTTGCTTTGGATTTGAACATATGAGGCATGTAGACCAATGGCCCTCTTATTTCCCTGGGCTTTGATGACTGGTCTTGCTATTTTTGTGTATTTTCTAGAAGTGAAATGTTCAGCCTTTTAAAATTGCATTTTTGTAGCAAAGCCAAGAGAAGGGCATTGCTTGCTTCACTCTGTATAAGGATGTGAGGATGCTGATGGTGCTCTCCCTTCTCTCTACCCGCTTCCCACCCTCTTCATAGATGCGCATCGGGAATTCCTTCACAGGCCTGCATCTGGATATGTGCCAGAGGAGATCTGGAAGAAAGCTGGTAAGAATTGTTTAAAAACACGAGTTTAGTGTTCTGGCAGCTGTGTGCAGTTGTTAATGCAGTGATGTGAAGAATGACAAGAAAGGACTTTACTGCTAACAACAATAGCAAAAACAAAACAAAACAAAAACCCACAAAACAAAACCAAAAAAAAACTCATTAATATTCTTAGACCAGCCCTGATTAAAACATGAAATAGTTTTTATTTTAGTAGCATCTGCTAGTGCCATTATAATTGAAAGGCTGGCAATATTTCCTTTATAAACCCCTTTTTTCAGGAGCTATAATGGTTTCAGGCTGGAATTTGGCATAGGAGGTCTTAGCTTACATGCAGTTTTCTTTGATGAAAAAAAAAAATCCAGTGTTTAAAGAAATTAAATTGCATACTTCAGCATTTTGCTCTTCAAAAACAAAATCACATCAAATCAGTTGACTTGTTAAGGAACGTGTTAAGAATTTTTGTTCACAATTAGCTTTAAAATTGATCTTTTGTGCTAGTTAATATTCATGGATCAGAGCTAAATTATTTTTTAAGTTGAATGACAAAAGTTGCTAACCTTCTGTCTTTCCTTGCCATATGCACTGTCTGCTTTCCATTGAGAGGTATTGCTCTATATTTTGCAGTAGATTTGAAGCTTCTCCTGACCCCTTAACTGATTATTGGGCTTAAAGAATTTCAGATCTGGTAGAATCTTTGTGGAACTCCAGCTGCACAAAACCTTGCATAAAACCTGACTAGGTTCTAAGCTGCTGTAACTCCAACTGTTAGAATTGTTAGACCATTTGAGGTGGGAAAATGGGAAATGCCATTTGTGCAGAGTCAAATGGATGTAGGGGTGATAGCACTAATGGAGGAATCAAGGCAAAGGTTATTTGTTGTTTTTTCTACAAAAGACTTCCCTTGGGTTTTGATTGACTCAGCTGTGTTTGTAGTTCTCTGCAATTTGCCAAATCTCTGGTCACTTGTAACTTATCCAAATATAGATTTTCTAAGAAATATCAGTTTTTTACTATTTATGTATTATTATTTATTTGTAATACTGGGGCATTCTACTACTGAGCCACATCTGCAGTCTTTTTTATTTTGAGACAGGGTCTCACTAAGTTTCCAAGGCTGTCCTTGAACTTGTGATCCTCCTGCCTCAGCCTCAACAGTAGCTGGGATGCCTGGCTGAAATACCAGTTTTTATAATTGTGATAAGAAGTTTTAAAATCTGATAGTACTCTAAGTTCAGTAGCTTAGATTAAGAACTGGAAAGTTCTCTTGCTTGTCAATATGCAAATCAGATAGATTCATTCAGCTTAAATATTAAAATGTGTATGTTGCTTACCTACATAGTATTACCTGATTTATGGTAATAAGTCACATGATTTCTCCAAGTTGTTCAAATATGCTGAATGCCAGATATCTGAGAGAGTTGCTACATCTTCCTCCTAACCATTTTTCTTCTCCATTTTTAAGATGACAGTGCATCTTATTCAAGTAAGAGGCATAAAGAATTGTCGTTTGGACAGCAGAAGGATGACTTTTTATGTTGAGAGGGGAGAGTCTTTTCCTGTTCCCCTTACTTAATGTGTATTTAAGTTAAATTCTTGATAGTTCTTAAAGAAAAGTTGGCAGTAAGGTCTTGTGTAATCCAAATTCCTTCTGTGCTATTACCTGCTCAAATCTTTGTTAGACTGCTATTAAGTGAGAACAGATTTTTCTGAATATACCACCTTTGTTGGAAAGTCAACTTGAATAGCTAAGCACAAAGGAAGTCTTACCATAAGTGGTGAGCAATTGGAAGCAGATTCAGAACTGTGCTGTGTATTTTCCACTTAATCAGTGTTTTTTCTACTTGATATGTTATAATCTATTGAATCTACCATTATTTTTCTTAACTGTTTTGTGGGTCTCTGAACCCAGTCTTCATGCACTTTTTGTTTGGCGGACTTAAAGAATAGAAAAAGAACACTGCTTTTTTTTTTTTTTCCTGTTGTGTCACTGCACTCTTTAAGACAGGTTAATCATCGAGAAAATGTTTTTAGATTATTTAATTTTTAGATGTGGCTATCATTGATGATTTGTTAATAGTGCAGATTAAATTCATATTCTCACAGTAGTGCTCCTAATATGCCACTTAAGAACAGTGGTAGTGGTTGGGAGTAGTTTTCTATGGGTGCATGTTAAATTTTAGAGAGTATATTAAATCTCTAAAGTATGGATAGCAGTTTTACCTGGAAATCTCCAATAACTGCTTATACTATGCATCTGCTTATAATATCCATATCTGCTTCTTAAAAGACATTACTGGTGTTCTCAGTGTCAAGACAGCCAACCTGAAGAAGACACCAAGGGCATAATGTGACATCTGCACTCAGCTTGTTAAAATTTGAAAGCTTTTTTTCCCTAGGATTCTAAAATTGGCTGTGCAAAAACACTTTTTTTTTTTAAAAAAAAATGGAAGAAACCTATTAAGTGTGTCTTTGCAATGAAAGTACTACACATTGTCTTTGAAGCAAAAGTAAATAAAATTTAAAGCACTTGAAAAATACCCAAGTGGTGGATCTCTAAAATGTTCTAAATGTGATGCAGTCTAGCAATGCATCCTTTTACATGGAAAATAATTGCAGAAAGTATATATTGTGCTTGAAATTGTGTCATATAGTTTTTGTACCATTTTACTTTGCAGTGATTTCAAACTTGCATAAAAGTTGCAAAAATGTATATAAAAATTTTTCTTGTAGCTTTTACCCAGATTCTTCACTTTACCACGTGTGTGTGTGTGTGTGTGTGTGTGTGTGTGTATGCCCACACACAGCCATTTGAGAATAAGTTTTAGATTCAATGTCTTTTTACCCTAAACATTTTAATGTTTATTTCCTAAGAACAATATATTCTTTCTCACATAACTATAGAATATTTACCAAAACCAGGACATGAACATTGATAGTACACTATTATATTTTTTAGTTGTGGACACAATACCTTTATTTTATTTATTTATTTTTATATGGTGCTGAGGAGCAAACCCAGTGCCTCCTCACACATGCTAGGCAAGCACTCTACCACTGGGCCACAACCCCAGCCCAATACTAAACTATATTTCATCTACAGACCCTATGCAGATTTTGCACATTGCTCCAATAATACAGATTAATATTGCACATTTTTAAAGATTAGAAATCTTACTAAATGTTGAACACATCAGTTTTTCCCTAAAAGTAGTATTTTTAAAAGCAACAGCAAAGACAACAAATGTAACTCAGAAGTTACAAAGGATCTTTATAAAACTGGAAAATAATCTAACATAAAGATGGTTTTAAAATTGCAACTGAATGTTTTCTTCAGTATATTTCTTTTTAAACGATCAGAGAATGTTTGCAGTTGGTAATAAATATTCAAGCACCTTGCAAATGTCCTACCAATTCTCTTTGCTGATCTGTATATGCCTGTGGGATTAGAATAGGAATGCATAATTTAAATATAAATTGCCTGATTTGCATATACAATTAGTCAAGCTACAGCTTTGATCGTAAGCAAAAATTATTGTCCTGTATTACCACTTAGATAGAATTTTAATTCACCTTGAATATTCAAACTAAATTAGACCCTGGCTGTGTAGTTAGAAGGGCAGTCCTTCCCTGGTGCCCCAAGTCATTTAAGATGGGGTAATAAAGGCATCTTTCGACTCCTGGTAAAGAAGATGCTATAAGTTCTGTCTGGAATACCCTGATTCTATCCAGATTTTAGTCACATACCTTGAAGCAACTAACAAAGGCTTAACATATTTTGGTTAATATTTCCAGTCTGGATCTTTCTCTTATACTTTAGTTGGTAAAACCTAGTGGACAGTAATTGCAAATGAAAGCATTTCAGGTTTGATGCTGCCAAAGTGACAGAGCTACAAAAGTCAGGGCAGCAGATTTCTGGTAGGGAGCTTCTGATGCTCCTCACATCATGGGCTACAGATATGCAAAATAAACCTTAGGAACTTAAGAAATCCAGGGAGTACTAACATCTCTTACATTTTTAATCTACAGTAAAACATTTTTATTAGGAATCTATGTTTTTAATTAAACAGAACATTTAATTAAGGTGGTTTTTAAGTGGGTGAAACAATTAAGTGCAAACACTTGAATGAAACATGTCATAATTAGTTTTAATAGAGTGTTAATTGGTACTAGGTTTGCCAAGTTAATAATTACTGCTTATTAAATTTTCAATTAATCATTGTCATTTTGCTTTGAATAAAGATGAAAATTAGATAAACTAATTCAGGAGGAGGATATTTTCCCTTGTTAATTAGAACGTTCGTTAATTTTTTAAAATGGAAATCACTTGTTTTAGTTGTCAATCTTATGTTATACATTAGTTGAGTATTTGCACCCTTACTACAGCCAAAAAAAAAGAGCTAATTTGACACCTTGCAGGTTTGCATTCAGGCCTGATCGTTTTGGGTTGTAGTGTATGATTCAGTCATGTTTGTTGGTGCAACAGTTGGTTATGCAGAACTATGGTGTAGATTTGATGAAATCCATGGACAACTGCTTAAAACATAGGAGATTATTTTTTTTTTTAAATTTATCATTAGGTCTATAAATGTGCTTTATAAAAGCACATCTATATTACTCAGAAAATGACTTAAAGAAAACTGGATCATCTGTTTCATTGACTTGATTTAAAAGGTCTGTATTCATTGCCAAGTTACCTTTTCACTCATTTTTATTTTTTTCCAACAAAATTATTATTTGCACTCATATCTGGATACATGTAAATTTTTTCTTCTTTCTCTGTTGTTTTTTGAGAACTTTACCTGTGAACATTTTATATTTATATAATCTTAGTGTTGTGGACTACCTTCTTTATGTGTCTGAATGATCCAGGAAGGTTTCCGTGGGTGTTCTTGCGCTTGATGATACACTGGTCTCAGATTCATTTCTAGAGACATCGGTTTGGTAGAAAAGTTGTAGCAATGTTATACGCATTTCAAAAATACTTCCAGAAGTACAAGTTAAGGAAACATCCTCACTCCTGAGTGAATTTCAAAGATCTACTATTTTCTTAGCCAGAACCACCCAATAATTTGGATGAGAGTCATGCATGTTGGATAAAATTCTGTTAAAAAGGGATCAGTGTCCAAGGTCCTGGACTGAGAGATGTTTTCTTGTCTGGTTCGCCCGATGGGCATACAGAGGAGGCCGTCAATGAGGTGAAGCGCCAGGCGATGACCGAGCTGCAGAAGGCCGTGTCTGAGGCTGAGCGGAAAGCCCATGACATGATCACGACGGAGCGAGCCAAGATGGAGCGCACGGTGGCGGAAGCCAAGCGGCAGGCGGCAGAGGACGCACTGGCGGTTATCAATCAGCAGGAGGATTCAAGTGAGGTAAGGCATTTGGTAGAGCTTCCAAGTGAGCATTATAGTTTTCATTATAAACTGCTCGTTTTTCAATCCAGGAGATCACAAATAAAAATTTCTGGAAAAAATTTTAATTTGGGAAAGTCAGAAAGCACTTGTGGAATTGACCAAGAACTGGTCAAATTTTGTTTCTTTATTAAAGACCTAAGGAAAAATTCTTGGCCAAAAGTGATTTTAAAATGTTTGATGAATCAGATTAAGGTGAAATGCTTCATCTCCATCAGTGAGACACTCAAAACCTGACTCTGTGTGTGTGTGTGCGCGTGCTCGCACGCGCATGTGTACATGTGTATTGATTGTTTCCTCCTTAAAGGGATTTAATAGAGCTGTATTCTGTAAGCTATGGTCTCCAAAGACCTACTGCAGCACTGGAATCCAAATTAGTTCTATTAGGCCTAAAGTTAACGATAAAATGATATTTGCATCAGCTAAAGAGTTCTAAAACATTTTACAATCTGTATTTTCATAATGTTTGTCATAACCATGATGGTCATTACATTGCTATTAGAAATAATATTATTTGGTATAATTCCCATGCAATAATGATCACCCATACACATAGACACATATGCACTCAACACATAGTGTGAATGACTCAAGGATCTAGGAAGTAAATAACTAAAATGTAACAAGGTACTTTTTACAATATAGCCTATAAATCAGAGCAAAGAAATGTTCCTTGTTAATTAATACAGCATCACAATCCTCAACCCTAAAGTAACTTTAGATAAAAGACTACAATTAGCTAGTCTCACAAAGCTGAACTCTGCAAAGGCATGAACTGATAAATCAATGGTCTACTACAATACATATCTATAATTTGTGAGGGAGAGTAAGAATTTAATTTGTACCAGGCTTTTCTGTAGATGAAAGACCCTGCGGGAATCACTCAATGCCCAGAGTTTCTATTTAATGTGTAGCAGATGAATAACAAGGGGACAAAAGGAATTGATTTTCAACATTTGAAAGTTTCTCAGGAAGAGAGGGACAAAGGAAAGTTTATCTACCCTTTAACTGCTGACTTTTCCATTGTCGAATTAAACTAGACAGAAATTCAATTTTATTGGCATCTAGCAGCTAAGATATATAAGGACTTTGTTTTGTGTTTATGTGTTTTGAAAAAATTCATTAGCATCTTTTGAAGAGAACTTGTATAAGTTAGTAACATTGTAGGGTACATTTGTCATTCTTCAGATATTACCACTTTCACATGAATGTTTTAGGGCTGTTAAGAGCATTTTTTGTAGGTCCCTAAAATCTAAAGACAAATGTCTAAGAAGAAATTGTGAATTAGTAAGTCTTTACGTTTGCACAATAATATGCTGTATTTCTTCAGTATCTATAAGCTTTGTGTCTTTATTCTAAAACCTATGCAGAAAAAAAATATGATTTTGACAACAGTCTTTATCATTGTAATATGTTGTATCGAACAGATCTCAAGTCTAAACAGTTTCCTGGGCTCTTTCTGGACAGCAGAAAACTCTGGCTTCCTTGGGCTAGAAGACAGTGCCCTTACTATGGCTGAACCCCAAAAGGAAGGAGAATCTGTTAGTCTAGTCCAGGACATTTTAGAATTTTCACCTAATTTCTGTTTTTTTTTATTCAGGATTTATCTTAAATATTAACCATTCAACCCCAAATTCAGCCCACATAGCATTGTGATTTAGACACGTTGTGAACGATTCATTTTTTTAGGGAAAAAAAAAAGACCTGGACATGATAGTAATTGCTTCAAAAAAATATATGTATGCCCATTAAGTGCAACAGCTATTGATTTAAAAACTGCATTCAGAAATTAGTGGACCTTCTTTTTGTGACCTACCCAGGGAAGTAGGTTATTTGCTACATATAGAATTAAACTACATTCATTTATTCTTTCAACAAATTACTGAGCTTTTATTATATATCAGGGACATTGCTGGCACTGAGGGTACAGAAGTCACCGATGCATGGTAACTACAGTTCAATGGGAGAGTTGGATCACCAAATTGTAAGAGTCATAATAAAGTTTAAAGTGAAGGCTTCCAGTGCTTAAAGCTAATCAAGACTGGATTAACAGCTGCCCTCCCCACCTCCCACCACCTTATGATGGTTCCCGGGGCAGTGGGCGTGTGCAGGGGACAAGAGAGAGGATGGGAAAGGAAGCTTTGCTGGTCTTTGGAAGCATGATGGCCCTGTGACTGATGGGTGTTGATAAAGATCACTCAGACTGCAGTGTGGTAAGAGATTAGAGGAAATGTAAAAGAGGGACTGTCTCAGTGTTTCAGGAGGATGATGGGTAGATGAAGATGATTGGTAGTGGTGCTGGGGTGGGGAAAATTGGGTGTGCTGGCTAGAAACCCAGGAGATAGAATGGGCAAGAGAAAATGTGCTTGTCAGGAAAGAAGTGGGCCATAAAGGGTTCAGGGTACACACATCAGTTGACTCTACTTGAACCACTTTCACAAATTTGCTGGCTTTAGTCTACCCAACGTAGGTATAAGGGTTCTGGGGAAGATAACCTTTGCTCATTTTGTATGTGTGCATAAGCAACACCAGTTAAAAACGTTTAAAAGCTCTAATAAATTATTGAATCCAGCTAGACAGGTCTTCTCTGTTTACTGGAAAGGACAAATAGAGCACAGAAGCTTAAGTAGTTCATCTTGTCGAATGTGAGAACTGGGGCTGTGCATTGGAAGGTGAACTGCAAGATGGCCCTGCATCCTGGCTTGAGTAGGCCAGTCCCAGTTTATACATGTCATCCTCATGTAGCTGCTCAGAGTGCTTCCTTCCACTCTCAGGTGTCCTGGTCTGGATGATGTTGTATGGTCACAACATTTAAAGGCCATGTTCAGCTGATTGGATGATCATCTGCTCTGTGGCAGAAGGAATCCAAGGGCAGTGCCCCAAGACTGGATTCTGGCCCAGCCTCTGTTGCCATCTTGGGTTCTTGAGCAAGTCATCTTTCACTTCACCTGCCTAACTGAGTTGTTTAAAAACCGTTTTAACAACAATATTATATAGTGTTTGAAGAGTGAAAACTCAAGGCATTATTATCTGCTCATATTTCACACAATCATATTTTTTTTGCATATTTGAATTTATTCAAGTTTCCACAGTCATCCTTCGCACAGTATATGCTAAACTTGTGCCTGGAACAACATCCCCTTCTCCTTTTCCCCCTCTTTATTTGAAGCCACCTCTTGTAGACATCAGCCCACCTCTTATGATCAGGTGTATAATTTATATAATTCACATCTGCAAAAAAATACATGTAGATGATATAAATACACACATTATTTTGTATTTGTGTGTTGTGTAAGGTCTTTATAGAGACTTTGAGAAAGCACTTGTGCTTCAGAATTAGAACACTAGAGTTCTGTCCCAGTGTGCTGCTTGTTTTAAGTATAGACATCTGACTACTTCGCTCTATAATTTCTGCATTTAGCTCTCCTCCTGTACCTTAGTTTTCACATCACATAAAAAGGAGCTAGTCATGCCCTTCATGCTTAGAAAAACCTGTGGTTCTGAAAAGTTGGCAGCATAGGATAGAGAAAATATGGAAAGAGGAGAGAAGAGCTGAAAATGTTTCACTGAGAAGACCAGAGGGAAGAATGCCCAGAGCAGGCATGACTAACACAGGGTATTACTTGTGAGGAACAGAGGACCCATTTTAATTTATCATCCAAACTGGGATGCTTCTCAGAGTAAACAGGGTGCTCCTGCTGGGATGGACCACTTCTGTGAACCTGGCTGTCCATCCCAGGCACCAGGAATGGGGGGGTTCAGCAGCAGGGTTAAAAAGGGTTCTGTGAAGTTTGTTTTGCCTGTGATGAAATGAGAAGACCTATAATAAGTTTCTGTTCAGTGCCAGGTGTGATACAGAGCTACCTCATATACTTTAGCTCTTTCTTCTCATACCAGCTCTGACAGAGTAAGGAGCTATTTTTATTTTTGTTTGTTTGTTTTTTTTCAATTTGCAGTTAAGAAAGTTGTCTTGGAATGCTTAGGTCACTTGTTAGCATCTCACAGTCAGTACACGTGGGCTGTCCTAAGCCCAGGTTGCCTGCCTTGTAAGCTACCTTCTTAATAGTCACATGGCAGTAGTAGGAATTATTTTCCCCCAATTGTGCACTAGTGTATCTGTTTCTTCATTGGACTCTGCTCAATTATTTCTTCCTAGTTCCCTAGCTTTATTTCAGTTTATAGACTAATAATTATTATTACTCGCAGTTAGAATGACTCTGTACTTGGGACAGAACCTAAGCAGTATGATACTTTCTGTACTTTTTATAGTGAAATATGTATTTCACCAGGAATGTAATGCCAGCATTAGCTTTCTTTATATATTGGCTTTATTTATTAAAAGACCTGCTGTTTGATTTCATAGGTGTTCATGGGGTAGTGGACAAAGAACAGGCCTTGGACTGACTTTGAGTTGCTTATTTCTTGGAGCTTTGGTTTTCTCACCTGCAAAACTAGGATAATGTTTGTGACCCACTTTGTAAGGTGGTTGAGGGATAGACATTAGATGACAAGTATTTAATATATAAAAGTTTGCTTGATCAATGAGGTGGGGGAGAGAGAGAGAAAGAGAGAGAGAGAGAGAGAGAGAGAGAGAGAGAGAGAGAGAGAGAGATGGGGGGGGCAAGACACTAGTATGGCAATATGTAAATCAATGGATGTGTAACTGATGTAATTCTGCAATCTGTATATGGGGTAAAAATGGGAGCTCATAACCCACTTGAATCAAAGTGTGAAATATGATATATCAAGAACTATGTAATGTTTTGAACAGCCAACAATAAAAAATTAAAAAAAAAAAAAAATGATCCTAATAGGAGAGGTCCGAGGAGATTCAGGAGTAACCATGAGATAAGAAAGCACAGGGTGGAGACTAGAAGTCAAGACTGTGGAGTTCTGTAGAGTTCTTTGTGTAGTGGTTGCTGGGGCTGTAGAGCAGCTTGCAATCAAATGCTCAAGTCTTG